CTCAGATTTAGCAGGAGGAAAGTTGAAACATTTCTGTCGTTTTCGTTTCCACAGACAGCTATCATCATCAGATTCAGAAAAGCTTTCATCACTTGAATCTACACTCTTGGTTGTCCGATAAGGAACGTCTGGTGCACCTGATGAAATGCTGCTCTGGAAAGGTCTGCCCGCATTACTGCCATCGTGTGATTTCTGAAAAGAAGTAGCAAGTATACATTAACTCAATTACTCATGCAAAGAAAGAGAGCCATCAAGTCATGCAAAAAATTTCATTAGCTTGAATTTCTTAATCCCGACTAGTGGCATTTCAAGCAGTTCTCTGTAAGGATCCCAAGGAGACTAGAAAGGCTACTACAATTACCAGCCCAGTCAATGACAGATGTGCACAGTAGTTTTAAGAAAGAAAACTATTACAACACTTTGGTGGAAGTTCTTATAATAGTAGAGAAATTAAAAGTTTTCTCTGGAGTCTAATCTGTCAGAAGGAGAGTGGGTGTCAAGTGATGTGCAACCACAGCAATCTTTCCTGAAATTTATGTGATAGAAAAAAAAAAAAAAAAAAAGAACAAAAAACTAAGGACAGATGCTACTCAAGACTTTGAAAAGCTAATAGCGTCTGGTGATTTTGATCACTAAGGACAAGGCATCACCATTTAATGGTAATACCTCACATTAGAATCAGATTTCCTCTCTGCTTTAAAACAAAGTACTACTGACTCACTGTGGCCATTATTAAACAGGGCAAAAACAAAACCCTAAAGGTTTTAAAATGCTTTACAAACAAGTCTTACTGCTCCAAAAAACATTTCCCATCATTCTGACTGGCACACTAAACAAAAAGCCAAGCCTGCTCAAATCTGCATCACCTGCAGAGACATCACAGGTTACGCAGGCCAGAATTCTGATACTACCATTGCAGGGAACTTCTGGCCGTGCTGTCTATGCCATACAGTATTTTATTTTTTTTTTACTGTTAATTTCATTTTTCCCTGGTTGATTTCTTATTATATGCTACCCTAAGATCTTTAAGATCAGACTTCCTTCAATCAGAGGTTAAAATCCATTTTTAATTATCTCACCACAGGTATGGCACCGTTTCTTCCCTTCCTATTAGGGAAGCGAGAGCAGACGAATCCAAATATTATAACACGTCTTAACGTGGAAGCTCTTAGGCCTCGGGAAGAAACAGAACCATAAACAGCAGTTTACGGGTGAGAGCAGTACATTCACAGCACGGCGGCGGCCGTTACCCATCGCTGCCAGGTGCGGACAAACGCTTCGTCCCTATTGTTCGTGTGAGGCCGAACCGGGACACCCGGCGTTCTCCTTCCTCACCACATCCGGCTCCTCAGAGCCACGGGAACCAGCCCGCCCCGCCGGGGCCCACGGCACGGCCAGCGGGGCCACGCAGCGGGAAGGGCTCACCCGCACGGCCAGGCCCGACCCGCACAGCCCCGGGCCCGGCGCGGCAATCCGCCGCCAGCAGGCCCGCAACCGCCCGTTCTCCCGGCTGGCCTCCGGCAGCGGGGAGGGAGGAGGCCGGGCCCCACCTGGAGCCCGCCTCGCCACCGCCTCCCGTTACTCACCTGCTGCCGCTCCCTGGGGGAGCCGGCGCCGGGCATTTCGGAGTCCGAGTCGGAGAGCTCGCCGTCTTCCACGTCGCCCTCCATGCGCCGCACCTCCAGCGCCATCGCGGCGCAGCGATCCCCCTGCGGCGGCGGAGACGGCGGCGGCGGCGGTGGGGCGGGGACGCGGGGCACGTCGGGAGCGGCGGCGGGCAGCGCGGGGCGGGGCGGGGCGAAGGCGCGCGCTGTGCGCTGCCGCCATCTTGTGCTGTGAGCCGCTCGCTGTCGGCGCTGCGCGCGTTCATCGGCGCTGCGAGGCGGGAGGTGGGAGGCGGTGTGGGCGCAGGAGAGGCTGAGGATGGACAGACGTGCGCAGGTCATGTAGGCCAACTCACACCGTTAATCGGTCGATCAGGAAGCCCTCTATGACTCAAGCTGCTGTGTTAGGAAACAGTCTTTATTCTTGGCGCTGGATGCATGAGGGGATCGTAGAATCATAGAATGGCCAGGATTGAAAAGGACCACGATGATCAGTTTCAATCCCCTTGCTATGTGCAGGATCCTTCCACCTGATCATGCATAGCTGGTACAAAGCGCCTCTGATAGACAGGTTTTACATATGCAAACGTTTTCCCAGGCAGAAGATGTCTATTCAGTAGTTCCCCCCAAATGATTACCATAGGGTTCCGCTTCCTTGCACATGCTCAGTCTTTTTGTGGCAGTGCTCCTGAGACCCTCTGGGTGAAGTTAGTAGCATTCCTTGCTTGTGTTTGCTGGCTGAACCTAGTCTTCATGCATGCTCAGTTAGCTCCTTGCCTTGGTCACACAAGCTGTCGGCGGATCCAAGCACAGTTTCCATATCTGCCTGGTATAAGGAGGTCAGTACATCATTACAAGGGCACAGATTCTTCCTTTTTTTCTAAGCCAATTACAGGGCTATCCATCAATGAGCATTAGCAAACTTAACAGCATTGCACCATCTTGTATGACAGCCATCAGCCCACCACCACCATGCTCACTAAACCACATCTCTCAGTGCCCTGCAAGGTGACCCAGGGACATTTCAGGCCAGAGTTACTGTGTGACTATGTGGGTTACTTCAGATGAATTTCAAAAGCCACCGTGGGTTCAGTGCAAAGATAAAAAAGTCAGTCTCCAACAGTCTATCTCTGGTTCTTTGATGTGTGTCAATGAATATAAAGTAATAGTTTATTTAAGGGGTTGATTATCAGAAGTTGAGTTCTTTTTGTCTCTGTCACAACAGTCTAATCCATCTCAAATCAGGCAGGCAGACTGCTAAATTCAGTGACTCTGGTTATTTTAGCTCTGATTAATGGCAGGTGGATCAATTTAGCTTATGCCTTTCTTCAGTAATTAATATATTTCCTTCAATAATTAATATATACATAGTCCCACAGGTGTGTTTACAACTACGGTATGCAAACTACTGTGTTGCTGGGTAACATTTGGGAATCCAGAGTTAGGCACTGAGGCTCCTCATGCAGTGGAGAGCTAAGCAAAAATCTTCATTAACACCTGAAGCAAGGAGCCACTCAGATCTAGTTAATGAGAACAGCTAAACCAAGAGAATTGATTTTACTGCTACGTGACATCTCACACTAGCATTAGGTCTATCACTGTTTCAACAATATAGAAAGTGATAGAGTTATAGAATTACAGAATATCCTGAGTTGGAAGGGATTCTTGGTGGGTATGGTAGTGATGGGTTGGTGACTGTACCAGTCTTTTAAAACCTTTATTATTCTGATGATTCTAAAAGATCATTGAGTCCAACTCCACACAGTGCTGTAGGTGAGGCCATACAGCACAGAGCAGAAGGGGCAGCCCCTCACCTCACCTGGTGGCAGCGTTGGGCCTGCTGCACCCCAGGGTACAGTTAGCCGTTTGGGTTCCAGGGCACACGGCTGCCTCGTGTTCGGCTTACAATCAGCCAGAACACACATGCCTTTCTGTGGGGTTGCCCTATTGTTGCACTCCCCATTCAGTATGTACAGCCAAGGTTGCAGTTTCCAAGGTACTTGTCCAGCACTGACACAATAATTATTTAGGAGATAAACAATTTTCTATATATTCTTTGCTATTTACTACTTTGGATGGAGTAGAAGAAGGCACTAGTTGATTGGGCTTGCAAGAAATATCAGTGTTGAAGAGCGGATGCCATTTGCT